CGTGATGGTGCCGGGACAGAGCTGAGCCCGGAGGCTGGCAACCAGAGGTTGGGCTGTGGGGCAGAGGCCCCTGGGGGCAGCCGGGTCTGTGCTGTGGCTGGAGGGTCAGCGCCTGCTGCCTGCCCAGAGGATGGAGTGTGGGTGGCGCAGGCAGGCGTACTCCCACCTGGCCCAGAGACATTGAGTGATGTCCCCCAGGTGGCCCAGCGCACTGGTGCAGTCCCCAGGTAGGAGCACTGCTGAGACGTCAGGAAAGCCTACTGTGCCTGCTGTGAGGATGGGTCACTGGTGTCTGTCACTCAGGGGTCTCAGCTCTGACTGTGGAGCTGAGCCCTTTCCCGGCTCAGCTGGCAAGGGGACCGGGGCAGCCGCTCGGCACACCTGGCTGGCACGAGGGGACCAGGGTGGTGAATTATTTAGAGATGCCAAAGGTGTTGAGTTAGAAGCTAATTTAAAAAACTATCTGCAGTGCCACACTATAAAAGAATCATAAAATCCCAATCTCATTTGTTCCACTCAGCTTCCTTGTGTGCAGACGCCCCATAAAAGGAGCATGTGCTCCATTGTCTGCGGTGGCTGGCCAGATGCACGCCCAGCAGCCCTGGCGAGGGGCGCCCCTGTGTGGCTCCCACAGGGGGCTCGGCTGCCTGGGCCCGGGGAGAATGGGGCTGTTTGGGTCCCAGTGAGAGGGGCGGAGGCAGGACAGGCTGAGCTGTCAGGGTGTGCTGGCCCCAGGAAACCCCAGCGGCCCTCAGAGCAGGTGATCATTCTTAGTGAGAAGGAGACGGTGAGGAAAAGCCCAACCTGCAGATGGGCTGGACCCCTCAGCTGGTGCCCTGGTGCTCCTGGTGCCCCTGGCTGGGGGTCTCGGAAGAAAGCCTGGTGCCGAACCCCTGTGGCAGGGCCCCGGCACATGGGGCGGGGGTGGGGGTGGGCTGAGCTTACAGTAGGAAACACAGTAGGCTGCTCCCCCCTGGACTGAGAGGCATAACGGGGCTGGAGGCCTGGCCATGGCCCTGGAGGCATTTGCTGTGCACCTACTATGTGCAGCTCTGTGGCAGTGTCAGCCCTGGCTCAGTTTCAGCCAGATCTCTGCCAGGCCAGTGTGCCGGCCACCCTGGGGTCCCCCAAGCCAGCCCCCTTGCCCTCGGGCCGCTGCTGGCTCCCCTTCCCATCTGAGCGCCTTTGGGCAAATCACTTTAGACTCAAAAGTATGAGTCCGCGTCCTCTGAGAGCAGATGCTGGCTTTCGTCCTGTCTCTTTTCTCTGTTGACTGGGGCCTTCCTCTGTCGGTGCCTCAGTTTCCTCATCTGCAGAACGGGGCTACAATGGTGGCGGCCCTGACTGGCCATTGGGAGGGTGCAGGGAGTTTGCCACGTGCCTGGTGCAGAGCACGGGTCCCCAGGAGCCAGGGAACAGATGGCCTCCAGCAGGCCGCAGTCCCAGAGCTCCAGGTCGGGGGCCACGAGCCCCAAATGCTCCAGCACCTCGGCCCAGTTTAAGGACAGGACACAGAGAAGTGAGGACCAGGGTTATTCGTCCTGTGGCCACAGGACCTGGGTCTCTGAATTATTACTGTTCCCAGAAGGACAGACCAGGCCCTGAGGCCCAACCGCTTACATAGCCCTGGGCCCAACCTGCCCACCTCCTATGGAGGGAGGCCGCGAAGGTGCACGCAGGGCCCCTGAGCAATGACATAGGACCCTGAGCAAAGACGGAGGAAAACGTAGGTTATGATCTGCAGTCCCAGGCCACCTCAGACGGGGAGGGACCGGCTCTCACCCTCACTCACACTTACGCTAGGACAACCAGCTGGACCCCCCAAGGCCTGGCCGGGCTCCAAGGCCACTGCAGCTCTGGAGGCCAAGATGGGGCTGAGAGCAGTGGCGGGTCCAGGCTTATCTGGGACCCACAGTCCAGCCGAGAGCTCCACACACTCAGCGCGAGGGAGGGGCCGGTCGTGTCTGGGACAATAGGGACAGGCAGACAATGAGAGCACGTGCAGAGTCTGAAAGCTGTAATTTGATATCATCTCAGCACAAATCGGGCCTGATTTCTCCAGACTGGGTGGCCTGGTGTCGCGTGCAGCCAAGTGACAGTGTCAGTAGGCACGTGGGGTCTTTGTCTCCCGGCTCTCAGGTGTGGATGGATTCTCTGCTCCTCATTGGACCAAATTGTCCAGACACAATGGGGGTGCGAGAGAAAAGGGAGGCGTGGGAAGGGCCACGTTTGGAATCTTTGCTTCACTGTGTGGTGTCCTGGACCAGGGGGGCGGTCACTGTCTGTCCCCAGCTGTGGAGGCCACTCAGAGCTCTGGCTGGGAGACTAAGGCCCAGTAGAACGCACGGCCGGGGGGCTACAGAGGAAGGGGGCCGAAACCCACAGGCTTTGAGACGTGCGTGACTGAGAAGCAGCCTGCGTGTGCTGGGCTGAGGAGAGCAGGATAAGACGGACCAGGTCTCCGGAGCACATGGCAGACGAGAGGGCACAGAGGCGGCTGTCTGAGCAGAGGCATCGCTGTGGCAATGAACAGGCCCGACCGACGTCTCGGCACCTGGCAGTGGAACCTTGCTGGTGGCGCAGCTCCAGTGGTCTTCCTAGTGGGGGGTGACTCAGGACCCCGGGTCCTCCCACACAGGCTGTGCCACCCAGGGGCCTCACGTCTGCCAACAGAGGGAAAGGATGGATTGAGAGGACCTGGAACTGCCCCCCAACTGCGATGGGCAGCCTTGCAGCCTGGCACAATGCCACTAGCACCGTGGGCAGTTGGCCATCTCCCCAGGGGTCCCCAAGACCGAGTGACTGAGAAAGAAGAAAAACCAGCACAGACTGCAGTGCAGCGTGATGCCATCTGTGGAAAAGTACATGAAGCAGAGCTGTATGCCTATAAACACACACACGTGCACACGCACACGTGTGTGCAAGCATGCACACATGCAAGTGCAAAGAGAAAGTTCCCAACAGAGAATGGCAGTTCCCCCCGGGGAGGAGGACTAAGGGGCTTTCTGTGTCTGCACGGTCTGAATTTTCATGACACAATTTATTCGCAAACCACTTGCAGATTTAAAAAGAAAAGAAGCTGGAACAGATTACACGGTGGTCGGAGGTGGCGGGGGTAAGAGAGAGTGTAAATGAGAAGCGAGGCCATGCTGTCCCCTCGGGCCACCTTGAGGACCCCCAGTCAGGAAAGACCCCATCCCCACAGTGGCATTGCATTAGAGCCACCAGCATTTTCCTGGCCTTCCATGGACAGGTGCTGCCCTAGACGCCCGATACACGTCAGGGACTGGTCGGTGTTAACATGTGAGTGACAGGCCAGTTGCTCTCCCACTGGCGGGGGGCGGGGGGGGGGAGCTCCTCCTGCAGCTCAGGTTGGGGTCCTTGATAGGACCCTTTGGGTGATGGTCCTGGGGTAGGAGAACCAAGAAGTAGCTGAGGGGAGCGCATGGTACGGGGGAGGGGAGAAAGGGCAAGGGGAGGAGCGGGGAGCAGAAGGGGGGGGTCACGGGAGGTCCTGAGCAGAGGTCCGGAGCACGCCAAGCTGCCCTCTGCAGACTCGCTTTCCCGACTGTCTCTCCAGCACCCAGAGCCTGCTCTGTTTCTCGGTGCCTCTCTGTGAGGAGGCTGCCCTGCCCCTCAGGGGCGCTCATACCAAGGGCCCCAGCAACCCCTGCTTCATGGAACCTGTTGATGAGCCAGGATAGGTGCCACTTCTGCGGTAGCTGAGGGACCCAGGAGCCCCCGGCCGGGGGACTTCCTGCCTGGCACGCCCAGCCTGGCGTGTGTGGCAGAGGTGAGCACGGAGAACAGCCCAGGGCAGGAGGCCAGGCCGGCCCCTCTGAGGCAGGATGGCGCAGCGGTCAGCTCGCTGAAGCGCAGGGCTCAGGGCTGCACCTTGGGGCCTCGTTTTCTCATCTCTAAACTGCTCACAAGGTGACCCCGCATTGCAATGGTTCCCTGCTTCTGTGCTGGGGCTCAGTACGTGCTCAGCAAAGCTGGCTGTTGGGGGACAGCTACAGTTACAGGGTGAACCAGCCGGGGAGCTGCTCCTGATGACTGAGGGCAGGCCTGGCCTGGTCCCTCAGGCTGGGGGGTCTCAGCACTCCCTTCCTGCAGTGCCCCCCCAAAGCAAAGGCACCTCCTGCACTGTGCACAGGGAGCCTCTGTGCACGCTGTGGCCTGGGGCACGTGTCTGCGGAGGGGGCAGGGAAGCCTGGCAGTGCTCCCCTGTGAGAAAGGGGCCCTTCACAGCTCAGTGTCCAGTCTCTGTGGCCACACTGGTCATAATGGGGTGTGGGTGTTCCCCGTGGGAGCCTGCCACTCACCCTCGTCAGCAGAGAAGGCTGCAGAAGGGCCCTGATGAGTCTGGGGACACCTGCTGCCTCTCCAGGCTGGATGGGGCATTTCAGGGCAGCTTGGGCTGCTCGGAGGGGCCTCTGGCTTGGCCTTGTGCTGCATCGATGTCTCACAGGGCTGGGGTCCCAGGTTGCAGGAGGAAGAAGGAAGGAGATGCCCTGGCCTCTCCCGAGGGCCTGCAGCCGTCCCCGGGTATTAAAGAAAAGATCGCCTGACCACGTGGCGAGGACATGAACCAACCACTGGGGGACAGGGCCAGGGGACGGGCGGAGAGGTGCTGATGTGGTAAATTTTATATGTCAACTTGGCTGGGCCACAAGGTGGCCAGATATTTGGTAAACGTGACTCTGGGTGTGTCAGATGTGAGTTCATCTGAACTGGTGGACTGAGTAAAGCGGGGTGCCCTCCCCAGTGTGGGCGGGCCTCCCCCAATCAGGCGAAGGCTTGATTAGAACAAAAGGCCGACACCCTGAATAAGGGGATTCTTGCTGCCTGACTTCGTGCTGGGACATCGTTTTTTTCCTGCTTTAGACATGAACTGAAACATCGCCTCTGCCGGGGCCTGTGGCCTGCCGACTTCTCAGCCTCTGTAATCACAAGCCAATTCCTAAAATAAATCTCTATGCGCGCGCACGCGCGAGTGCACCCTACTTAGCCCTGAGGGTTGCTCTAATGGAGATGTGGGGTCTGGGGCGAAGGAGATGACCACCCCAGCATTTTCCACTCTACCTGCCACAGGTGCAGCTCAGTTCCCGAGCTGGACTTCGAGCGTGAGTGACAGGTTAGCGGAGGGCACGCCCTGGGTGGAGCCCACAGCACTACAGGCTGGGGAGAGACGTTTGAAGGTCATCTGAGCAGACTTCCGGGGAGAGGCTGTCAGGGAGCTGAGGGCTGTGGTGCGGGGAGGAGGGCTGGTCTGGGATGGCGCTGGGATGGGCCGGTGGGACAGGCTGCTCTGGGCCGAGGGATGGAGCCCCATTTTCAGGAGAGGGGCAACCAAGAGGCCTGTCGCTGGGCGGGCAGTTGGTGAGGGGCACCGAGGGGTCCTGCCTGGACCCCTGAGGCCTGCGATCATTTCTGGAGCCACAGAATTCTGGGCCAGCTCAGCGGAGGAATGAGGCAGGCTCCGAGGAACAAGGAATGCGGACGGGTGGGTGCAGCACGGCTCCTGGCGGGCCAGGCCCTCAGGGATCAGGTCTTCCTTGTACATAGGACGCACCGCCCCACCCTGAGCCCGGCAGCTCTAGGGACTGTGGCCGGCAGGAGGCTGTCATGGCTTGTCTCATAAATCTCACCATTTACAGCTATTGACGGACGCGAATGTGGCCCATCGACCCCTGGGCTGTGCGTGCACGGGGCCAGGCTGCCGCTGCAGCCCGACAGGATGAATTGACAGATCACCGACCACGCTCCCGACACACAATTGTTTCAGCGAAAATGAGAAGTAACGATCAGGCTGCAACGGACTGCTGAGAAGGCCTCCCAGCCACTTCGTGCAGCCTCTCGGCTCCTCCCGTGCTCGGGGCCCCCAAACGGACGCGTTGCCAATGGCATTATTCCCCAAAAAGACATCCTGGGGGAGGGGCAGAGGCTGGGCAGGGGTGCTGGCAGTGGGGGGCTCCGGACCCCCAGGGTGGCTCGGAGAAATGGGCGCATTTGTGTGGCCCATGGGGGACGTGGTCATTCCTGGAGCTGGTGGCTGTTCACCATGGCCTCCCAGGGACTGGCACCCCGCATCAGCGGTCCTCTCTTCTCTTCCAGGATCGACAGAGAAGTGGCGTTGGTGGAGATGAGTCCTGCCGCCCCCACTCCAGGCAGCCGTGCATGGGGTCCCCGGGGAAGGCCGTGTAGGGGTGTGCTAGCAAGGAGGAAAGACCTGACTGGCTCCGGTCCTGCTGTGTCCCCAGGCCCTGAGGAGGTGCTGGGCCTCTGGCGGCAAGGTTTCGGGCTGCAGGTCCTGCCAGCTGTGGCTTGAGGCCTGAGACGCCATCTGCTATTTCAAGGACTCAAAAGGTTGGGAAGGAGTCTGCAGGGACAACCCTGGGCTGTATTCTTGGTGGCCCCTGAGCTGGCACAGGAGCACAGAGGGGCCTCCGGTGTCCCTGCTCCTGGGGCGTTTACTCTAGGCAGTGAGAAATGGCCAACGAGGGGTTAAAGCCGGAAACGGCTGGCAGGCAGAGTTAAGAAAATGATGTTCTGCAGTTTGACGTCATTTTAATTCCATTTCAAGAGCGTTTAATCTCATTTGCCAATGACTGATCCCTGGCTATGGGTGAATTAACACGCGGCCCCTCCTTCGAGGGGAAGTGGGACCCTTTTAACAGAGACATGGCGTCACCGTGCCCTCCTGGCCTCTGGGCAGCCTCTGGGGTGGGGGCAGCCTCTGGGGTGGGGGCAGCCTCTGGGGTGGGGGCAGCCTCTGGGGTGGGGCAGCCGTGAGACCTGACCCGTGGGCTTGGCGTTCACTCAGCACTTGCCACTTTCCGGAAGGCTGCCCATTCCTCAGGTTCAGGACAAAGGTGCACTGAGGCAGGTTTGGGGTCCCTGAAGGCATGTGTCCGTGTCCGAGGCACATGACCCCTGACACCTGGGGCAGAGTGGGAGGGGGACAAGGTCCTCTGAGAACCGGCCTGGGTGCTGCCTGCCGTGCCTGAGCTGGAGGCAGAGTGATGCCATGTTCCGGGACTGTACCTCCCTGGGGTTACGGGTCTCCCCTCCATCCAGGCCTGGGGGCAGCGGGCAGGTCATAGCCCTCGGAGCCCCAGGCCCAGGCCCAGGGAGGAGAGGCCTCTGGGTACCGTCTCCCCCCACCCACATCTGGTTTTCCTCCTGCTGGTAACTCCACTTTCCAGAACCTTCTGCTGATCACTCTGACTGCTCACTCTGCCCTGGACTTAGCTGAGCTTTGGGGATTTATGGGGGGTTGTGTTCAAGCTTAGGGGCGGGGGGATCTGTGTGAGGCCCCACCGGAAAGGACTCCTGGGCACTGTTTGTACTGATGAGCTCCCTGCGAGCTGTTGAGGGGGCACAGGGAGGAGCTGGCCCTGCAGGTGGGCTGTGCAGGGCTCCCCACGTGCTCTGGCAGAGGCCATAACCCCAGGACGCAAGACGCTGTCCTCCCCTGAATAATCTTCCTAGAACCTGGACCCTGGGCAGTGGGGTGGGGTGGAGAGTTGGATCCATCCATGCATCCTTCCATCCACCCGTTATCTATCTATCCAACCCTTCCATCCATCCGTCATCCATCCATCCACCCACCTTTCCATCCGTCCATCCAACACTCACTGGAATTCTGCTCTTGTCCTGGCCTCAGGTCCAGTGACGGTTCAGTGTCCACAGCGTCCTGACCGTGCAGAGGGTAGTTTGGGGGTAGGGGGGCTCTGGTAGCTCAGAGGAGGCCCCTGGCCCCAGATGGCTGGCAGTGATATTCCTTTCAAATAAGTCGCCCGTGAAATGTGTCATTAAACTTGACATGTCAATCCTTTGTAAGAAGTTTCAGGAGGGTAAGAGTTACGATCGCAACACTAATCCTTTGCCAGAATCCTAATTTGAGTCTGGAAAACAGAGTTCGCGCAGCTCTAACAACGTCTTAGAAGGTTCCTTGGAAGGCCTGGCACCAGAACCGGTTCCCCAGAGGTGGGTAGAAACAGGGTAGGTGCAAACACCATACTAACAATAATTTTAATAAAAAACACTGAATGAGTACAGATGCCTTGGTCACAAAGGTCTGATACGCCCAACGGCAGAGGACCAAGTTCAGGGAGTGCCGGTGACCACCCAGCTCTGCCCACCTTTCAGCTGTGTGACTTTGGGAAAGACACTTGAGCTGTCTGAGCCGCAGCTTTCTCCTTGGCAACATGGGGACGCTGATTCGAGCTTGCAGGTGGCTGGGCCCAATAGCTCCTCAGGTGTCCTGAGAGAGGGGAGAGGCCACCTTCCGCGCTGGCGGCCTGTGGGAGGAGGGTGGGCAAGGGGCTTGGGGTGAGCAGGCTCTCGGTTATTGGATTATCTCATTTGCAAACAATAAATGTCAGCAGCAGGAGAGCTTGTCAGAAACCCCCTCCCAGGATGCAAATGTCCCCTTTATCTGCCTCTGCCCTTTATTAAAACAACCACAGAGCCAGCGGACAAACAAGACAATTACATGTAAATGATGTCATCTTCCTCCCTCATCTGCTTTAATGAGGCCCCGGCCTGGCCAGCCCTGACGGAAGCCGGAAGACTGCGATTAAAACGCCACCAAGGGGCAACACTGACCTTTCGCTTTAACGACTGACCCGGGCCCGGGGCTGGTGTGACAGCTGGGACCTGTGCGCTCAGGCTTTACAAGCGATGACACTTCAACAGTGAATATTTACTGTCTCCACTGAGCAGCCGCCCTTCAGAGCTGGCTGGACTGTGAAGAGCTCCACGCACTTGGCGATGGGGGACCCCTCGCACCCTCCTCAGGGCGGCTTGTCTCCAGGCCTGGGGGGCGCACTCCTGGGCCCCGGGTGGAGGGCTGGGTGGTGGGGACACAGGGGCCACCCAAGCAGGAGACGCTCAGGGAATCCTGGGTCTCCCAGGAGAGGGGTGGGGATGGAGGCAGTCACGCGCGGAGGGCACGGGTGGGAGATGGCACGTCCTGAGCTTCTGCCCTGAGAGAGGCCACGGAGGGCAGAGCCCATGCCGCCCACCACTGGTTCCTCTATGGCTGCTGTTGCTGGTGCCACTCTAATGCCATTACCAATACCGCTGCTGCTGCTGCTGTCACCATGCCCGCCGTTGCTGCTGCCACCACCTCCACTGCTGCCATTACCATGACTATTGGCATCACGACTGCTGCCGATGCTGCTACTAACTTCTGTTACCACCACTGCCGCCGCTGCTGCGATGGTGACGATGACTGTGACGATGACCACCGCTGGCAACAGTGACAAACTTAACCGCACCTAATCCCTACAGGGCTTTCTAGGCAGCAGACCCTGCTCCGTGCCCCTGGGAGGCCAGGTCGTGTTCCCACTTTACAGCCAGGGCAGCTGCCCCGAGGCCAGGTCGTGTTCCCACTTTACAGCCAGGGTAGCTGCCCCAGGGGCATCAGGACGAGTGCAGAGGCCACACGGGCAGGGATGGGGCCCTGGCAGACCTGGGCCTGTGCTCCTCCCAGAGAGCCAATGCCCAGGGACCTGGGCGCTGGGACCACCAGGTGGGCCTCTACAGCAGGCACGTCCCATTTGGCAGGGTGAGGGCCCACCAGGGTTTGCCTGCCCTTATGCCCAGCCCCAGGGCCTGGGTGGTCTTAGCAGGAAAATTCTCTGCTGCAGGGAGGGCGCATGGTCACCTGAGCCAATTCCTGACAACCCTGAACACTTACTTTACGGCAGACATTGCCAGCATGTTCAAAGTGCTAATTTCCAACCCCATGTCACGTGGTGCTTGGCTCCACCTGCCACAGGCTGGGATGGGCTCAGCTGCTGCAGGTGCCATCACCTGCCCGGAGGTGACACACCGGTGCAGGTGTGCTCACATAGGAGTGTGTGTGGGCAGGCCTGGTGCCCGCGTGAGCTCACACGGGGGTGCGCGCTGTGCACATGCCTGACAGCGGTTCCCGCCTGCCCGAGTGTGTGAGCCCCGTGTGTGCCCTGGAGGCTCCTCTGCTCCAGGCCGCCCCGCAGGTTCACACCAGGAGTCCGGTGGGGCCTCCCTGACGGAAGGGGACACTTTGTTAATGGAGCTTTGTCCCTTTCTCTGAGGCAGCTTCTGGCTTTTATGAGGCCACCTGAGAGGAGACCAGAGCAGGCAGGTGATGGCAGGTCTCTCAGGGGATGTGAGACGCTGGGTGTCCTTGTCTCAGGTGAGGATGCAGCGGGTGGCAGACCCAAAGTGACCAAACGGAGCGCTGGCACTCTGCTGAGCCCAGCCTGTTAACAGCACGGGCTCTGTGTGCAGACGCCTGGCTCAAATCCCAGCTCCGCCTCGTGCCAGCTGTGTGGCCTCAGGCACATTGCGTACCATCTCTGAGCTTCCATCTGCTCCTCTGTGAAGTGGGGGAAGTGGCAGCACCTGCCTCCTGAGGCTGGTGTGAGGGTTACGAGCACGAAACGCCAGGACAGTGCCCCGAAAGCTCTCAGCTGGTATTCATGCGATCATTACATTATCGCGGACGAGTGGGCCAGGATTTAAATAACTCTGACAGTAAATGTCAATTTATCCTTCCCAGAGCTCCAGAAACATCCAGCAACACCAGGGAGAAGCAATTAGGTGCTGCCGTCAGGTGTTGCCGAAGCGGAGGTTTCCGGAATCTTCTCTACCCCCAGGAGCGCTGTCTGCCGTCCCTCCCGTCCTGCAGCCCACACTGCGGCCCGTGGGCATCGCCGCCAGGCGGTGCTTCATCCCTTCCCCAGTGCCGCTGGCCACCAGCCAGCCTGAGCTCCCTGCCACTTTGGGCTCAGACAGGACCTCGGAGGCTGGGCGCCAGGCCAGCCTGCATTTCCCTGGGCAGGGGGTGACCCGCTGGCCAGCCCCAGGTGCCATGTGGCCACTCTGGGCCGAGTCAGAGTTAATCCCCGGTGTTTCCCGCGTGTGCCCGTCCACTCCTTGCTTCTTTGGCCGCCCATCATGGTCGCGGTCATTGCCACAGCAGGCTTGGTGACGGGGCCTGCACCACGCCTCGCACGGGCGGACACCCAGCTGCCCTCTTGGCTCTGATGGGAATCGAGGCTGTAAGCGGCTGCTCCTGAGGCGGAAGAGGGGCTTCAACCTGTCCCACCGGCGCAGGGAGGAAGGCGTGGGCAGGGCCCGCCAGGGGCCAGCCGTGTGCTTACATCTCCAGGAGCACTGTCGCCAGCGTCATCCATTTCTCTTTTTATAAAAGGCAGGCATGTGGTTTGGTGACGGAGAATGAAAAACCCTCCGCCAGGTGCGGGAAGCTTGGGTTTTCACGCCTGCATTTGGGCATTGGATCAGACCAGGCACCTGCGTGCAGGAGGCAGCGTGTGGGCAGGGCCCCAAGAGGCGAAGGCCGGAACCCCAGCCCCCGGCGACCGGCAGCCTGAGCAGGCAGGGTGGGCAGAGGGCTGCCCCATCTGCCCTGGGGGCACACACTGGGCGGTGCCTGGACCCCATCCCTGGCAGATCCCCTGACCGGCACCTCGCTTTTCCATTCGCCCCTCCCTGGCTTCCTGCCCCACCTCTGCCCCGCCCCGCGCCCTTCCTCAGGCCTATCAGGGCTGGACCTGTTTATCCAGATGGACCAGGAAACGAGTCCAGCCTGAGACAGACAGCAGCAGCCAGCAACCATGGGTGGAAACTGGAAATTACCCGAACGCTGGGGATCGCTGGGGAGAAACACGTGTGGAGGCTGGGGCAGAAGGACGGGGTGCCTCCGGTGACCGCTGGCACTGCCCCGGGCCTGGGGCCCACAAGTGCGGGTCACTGGTGCTGCAGCTCTCACCCCAACCCCGGGCGGACCTTTCCAGAGCCACCGAGCAGCTCCCCCTGGTGGGACACAAGACGGGCCCACTCGGGCATCACGGAGGGTGGACGTTTGTGGGGGTCCTAGAGGGCGGGCAGGAGTTTGCCACTTTGGGGCCGCTGCTGCCCTGGGCAGAGAGCCCTCATACAGGTCCAGGCTGTTGGGGACACGTCTGGGGCCTGGGGAACTTCCTCAGGCCAGTAGTGCAGCCTGTGAAGAGCTGCAGGTGGCTGTCAGCCATGGGGCGCCCAGGGACTCCTCCGGGAAAGCCCTTGCCAGCCCCAGGTCACACCGGCACTGCTCTCAGCGGGGTCCTCTCACCTGGGCCTGCCGTCCTGTGACCCTGCTCACCGGCTGTTTAAGCTTATGTGGCACAGGGGTGCAGTCACAAGGTGATGGGACCCCAAGGTCATCCAGGTCACATCCAACCATGGGGCAGCGCCCATGCCTCCAGGGACGCGCGCTCACTTCCTGCCTGAGAGGAGAAGGCAGAGGCCTTGGGGCCAGACCACAATGTCCCCGAGGCAGCCACCACAGGCCTCCCCCTTGGCCGTCCACCATAGAGAGCAGATAGCTGACGGGCTCACAGCCTCATCTTAGGGAGGGACACCAGTCCTGGAGCCCTGCTGGCTAGTGGGTGGCCCCCCAAAGCTGGCTGCACCCCCCAGGAGCTGCCAGCCTCCCTGCAAAGGGCACTCGGGGCCTGTGAGATAACAGCACAATCAGGGCCCCTACCCTGCCGGGCACTGCAGAGAGGCAGAAACTGTTGTTACTAATCGGTGACTCTAAATTACACGGCAGTGACAGATGTTGTGAGCACTGGAAAAGCGCTGTCAAGTAATTGGCTTATTCTCACAAGCGGAGAGGTGATTTGCTACCAGTCAAAGGGCATTCGGCCACCTGCATCGCTGGACAGAGGCTGGCTGGGGACAGCTAAGGACCCAGGAGACCCCAAGAACCCTCCTGGTCCCCAACATCCGGGGACACATACTGCCAGCCCAGAGAGGCCTGGGCTTCCCCGAACTCCACTAAGCATCTCCCACCAGGTGGGTCTCCTCGGCGCCCCACCCGGCCATGGCTGTGTAGCCCTCATGCTCACGCCTGCGGTCCCCTTGCCTGGGAGCTCCCAGGGGGTCCCAGCCTCAGCAGCAGCCTGCGGGCACTGGCGGGGCGGGGTGGCCCATGCCAGACAGATGGAAGCCACGGAGAAGGGCAGACATCACCGCTCACCTCCAGCAATGCTGCGCAGCAGGGCTCGTGCCGACCCACCGGTCCCCGCGGGTCTGGGCTGCGGCCCTCTCCTACCAGGGCCCCTGAGACACAGGTTCGGAGCTGCCCCCACACAGGACGGGAGGCCGCCGACACCAGCCCCTCGAGTCCAGGCCGGCCCTCGGGCCTCACTTGCTGGCTCGCTTTTCTCCGGCATTCTGTGCCCACCCACACCCAGCTGGGAGTGCTTTCACCCCAGGATCAGAACTGAGCATGCTGTGGGGCTGCTGGTGAAGGGATCGGAGCGACGGTCCCTGTGGCCCGAGCTGCCCGCTGACAGCACGCCTGTCCCGGTGGCCACCCGCCCCAGCTGCCGTTCCTACGTGGCCAGGCTGCGGTGCCTGCCCTCAACGCTTCCCCTGGAACGCCCTATGAAGGGCATAAAAATCCAATACTCAAATCACCAGTGCCTTGTAGATGACTAAAATTAAAACCTAATTGAATTTTCCTGGGGAAAAATATCTTGTGGAAATTTAATTAAGGAAGTTAAAGACCAGGTTTTTAAAAATAGATATATATGGTTTTTAATTCAGGGTTATTTGCAAAGCAAATTAAAAAATAAAGAGATGCTCGGATAAGGAGATTGGATGTAGACAGAGGCACTTGGCGAGGTCCCCAAGTGTGCAGCGGGCAGGGCGGGGGCCTCAAGTGTGCAGCGGGCAGGGCGGGGGCCTCGGCACCCGGGGTCCTGTCTGCAGCCCCGTGGTTCTCGCAGGAGGCTGCCCTCTGCCCCGAGGCAGCACTGGTGTCAGAATCAGAGGGCTTCTGCAGGCTTGCCTGGCTTTTTGCCTAGGTCTCTAGTGGGGGGGCGGGGGGTGAGGGAGTTCCCATGAGAGCTACCTCCGCCCTGTGAGCCAGGAAAGGAAGCCCCAAGGCCGCAAAGGGCCCAACAGCGTCCCAGCAGCCTCCTCCCCGCCCCCTCCCCAGCCACGCCCACCCAACCACACGCCTGGGCGTCCTGTCTCTGCCCTTTTTTTCTTCTACTTGGGGAAGCATTTTGAAAAACTCTATCCTGAGACCAGCTTAGAATGAAACTGAGACCAGCACCCAGCCTCGAGCCCAGGCCCGTGTGTGTCCCAGTGGGCAGACCTGGCCTTGGCCGTGGCTGCCAGCGCTGGCCTTGCCGCTGTGGAGGCTGGGAGCCTGTGCCCGTTGTGGTGGCCGTCTCGGAGATGCGGGATGGCCTCCCCTACCTGACGTCGGTCCGGATGTCGAGGCTGATGACGCCCCGGGCACCAGAGGTCCAGAAGGCTTGTCTCTCACAGGATGAAGCTTTCTGGGGAGAGCGGGCGGCTCGCAAACAGGGCTGAACATGGCTGGAGACAGCAGGGGGCAGCTGGCTTGGGGTTCACAGTGACCAGGGAGTGGGGCTGGCTGAGGCACCCCCACGCAGGCCAGGGCTTCTATGGTTTGAATGTTCTGAGGTTCCAAAGAAGGGCTGCTGGGACATCCCACATGGACTCAGGCTCAGCCTTGCTCACCTCGCTTTGCCTTCATGCCTGGCTGACCCCCACCTCACTCCAGGGCCACCTCCCGATGCCCAGCAGAGGGGCTGGTCCTCACCGAGGGTGTTGGGCAGGCAGTGCAGGCCCCTGTGAGGGTCGGCAGAGGGCTTGTCCAGGACCATCCCAGCCCTCCTGCGGTGGCCAGGAGCCCCCCCCCCCCGACCTCGGGCCCGACAAGGACGCCTGGCGTCTGTGGCACTGCGGCTGATAGCTCCCACCTCTGCTCCCTGGCGTCTGATCGCAGCTGCCACTCGGCGGGTGGCCACTGCCTCTGTCTCCTCTGCTGGGATGCAGGCTTCAAGGTCGAAGCGGTGGGTGACGCTGGTGACTGCCCAGGTAATGAGACCTGACAGGTGGAGGCGGAGTGCTGGGGGAGGCCCGTGCGTGTCGGCAGGGTTCAGCCGCCAGCCCGGCCGCCGCCTGTCGCCCCCGGCACCACCTCACCCTTCCTTTGCACGCATCTCTGGGTTGGAAATTCAGTTAATTCTGCCAGCAGAGTGAGAAGCTGGGCTGGACTCCTGGGGCCCTGGGGCCTCATGGAGGGGTTGACAGGGCGCCAGGCCTGCCTCCCAGCCTGGCCCCCAAGGCAGGGCCTGTGTCCCCCCACGGCCCCGAGGAGTGGCGGTCCTGCTCACGTGGAGGTTCCTGGAGAGAGGGGCTGCGGACGCCTGCAGAGCAGTGAGGAAAGCAGAGGGCGCTGCCTGTCCTGGGGTCCTCACCGAGGACAGTCCTGCCCAACTGCCCCCACTGCCACCTTCGCCTTCAGACCTCCTGGAGCAGACGGCTTTTTGTTACCCAAAGCCCTGTAATGATTTTGGTCACTAAAGGGTTTTCACAGTTTTATCAGTGAACCAACCTGATGCATTTAGTGTTGAATTATCGAAGGGATATATCACTAATAAGGCGCCCGGCTGACACTGCCCACCACGGCCCCTGTCAGGGGACACGCTGTAATTCAGCGAGCACATGGAGATGCGTGCAGTTTCTGGGGGGCCCCTTCCTGGGAGGCGAGCAGAGAGGCTTGTCCGGAAGGCCCTGGCAGCTGCCCGGCTGGGGCATGAGGCGTGGCCCGTCCCCCCAGGTGGTCTCCAGATTGGTGGCCTCACTCGGCACTCTGCAGCCTAGGCACAGAGAGGGACGCAGGAGGGGAGGGCTCTGGGGTCCTGACCCCCCTTGCACCTGGAATGCGCAGTGATGGGACAAAAGGAGCATGGTGGGTGGCTCAGCTGCGGCCTGGGCCCGTCACCCCGCACTCTGTGCCTGGCCTGGCGTGTCGGTGGCCCCGTCGGCTCCTGTGTGTCCCTGCACCGCTGTGCAGGGGAGCCCCAGTGACGCTGTTCCCTGGCGTCTGCAGCCAGAGCCTTTGCTGGGTGGAACATGCACATTATGAGTAGATAACTGATATGCCACAGCGGCTCCTGCGTGAAGACGGGCACCCCAGGCCCGGAGCTTAGCGCCCTTGCCTCACCTCAGGTACCGTCCTCCTGCCGACCCCAAAGGCTGCTACAGCTGCGGGGCACACAGGTGGGCGTCTGTGTGGGTGGCCTCCCTGTTGAGTCAGAGCGGTGCGGAGACTGAGGCCAGGGAGGCGCCAGGCGGGGGCCCTCATCCCTGGTGCTGTCTGAGCCTTGAGATCTCCAGGTGAGCTGAGAGGGCTCCCGGCGGTGCAGGGGGGGCCTGGTCAGCCGGGGCCCCCCTGGCCTTCATTCATGCGTGTGGCTTGGCCACCTCCCATCTGACGAGCCCCGTGTCCACACCTGGTAGCCGCAGCTCTGGGTGGGCACGTGGGAACACTCCTTGGCTAACCGCGCCTCCCGGGATGCCCGGCTGTGCCCAAACTCCTCGTGAGTCCCCGGTAAACCGGACTTCCGCTGGAAGGAGATGGGAGGCCAGGAAGCCAGGCACCCCCTTCCTCCCTCAGTGTCCCCCTCGCCTGCACTGTACCCCTCTGGACGTCTCTCCCAGCCCCCTAGGGCCATCTCCTCCCGGCCCAGGAGGCCCCACCTGTCTCAGACCCTTTCCATAGCCCAGCCTACGGAGGAGGGAAGCGCGAAGGCCCCAGAATCTGGTGCTGGAACCGCTCCCAGACCCGCTCCCCCCAACCTACCTTGCCCCCCCCTCCCGGCCGCTCTGGGTCTTTTAGAATGCATCAAACTCCCCGCACTTTAAAATGCACAGAGAAAAGAATGGGTTTTAAATTAGTGAAGCCTTTTTACAGGGGACGTTTGTCAAGGATAACCTTTAATTGCAAATAAAATAATAAGAAAAGCCCCTGTGAAACCTGGTCGCGTGGAGAGCACCCTGACGGCACCTGCTCGTAGCTGGAGGAGGCAGAGAGTCAGGATCTCAGCGCTACGGTGCTTCCCCTCAGCTCCCTGCCATGCCGGCTGCCAGCCAGAGCTCCTCCCGTCCAGGTTCTGACCCCAGCGCCCGTGGGAGACCCGGGGCTGGCACCGCCCAGTCCAAGGCTGCATCCTTAGGATGCAGAACATGAGAGGTGACAGTGCACTGGTAAGGGAGTGTGCTGGCGGTGGGGGGACTGCCCATGTCCTGCTGGGACAGGGAGGTGGGCACAAAACCAGAAAGGTCTCTCCAAGCCCTGGGGCTGTGCCAACAGCGCAGCGGTGTGGTGGGTCTTCGAGTGTTTTGTGCAGCGCCTGCCACGGAGATAATGACACCTCTTAAAACGTGGTAATTAAAATCCTGTCTGTGCACAGCAGTAAATCCAGGCAGCACAACTTTCTTGTAAAAGTGACCTTGCGAGCAGTTTTCCAGCCGCGGGTTTGATCAATGTCACACTTGGATGGCTGCAACCGTGCAGCGCGGGCTCCGTCCTCACCTCCCGCAGAGGATTCTCACCAGATGCGTCCCACCGCCCAGGCCCCCCTGAACCTGGCTACACACACACACACACACACACACACACACACACACACACACACTCACTCACTCACTGACCTATCCAAGCTCCCTGCCCAGCACCCAGAACTTTCTGGGTTGTCTGACTTGGCGGCAGGACTGCTGGTCCGATTCCATGTCCCGTCCGCTCAGCTGGGAAGTGATGGTGGTGTTCATCCTGCCCTCGTGAGGACACTAACAGGTGTCACCAGGAAGGGAGAAGGCGCAGCTGCCTCCAGCAGTGCCCGTGGTGACGGTGGCTTCTCTCCTGGGGGCAGACTCTGCCAGGCTCTAGCTCCTAATAGGCCCCACCTGGCAGGACTGTGGGACTTTCCATGTCACAGGTGGGGAAACTGAGGCTTGGCGAGCTTACGGACATGCTGCGTCACATGGCTGTCTCCAGATGCAAAATGCAGCATGCAACATCAAGGTGGGACATGAGGACCTGACGGCTGTGACCCCCTTCCCAAAGGGGAGCCTAGGCTCCCTGGGGGCCTGGAGCCCGCCCCTGCTGCACCTGTGAGCCCCATCAGTGCATCCTGAAGGCTTCCTTCCCTGGCATGGGGGGCAGGCCGGCCCTGAGAGCAGTGGGGAAAGGCCCACAACCACCGTCCCTGCACCCCCACCTCTAGGCCTCCTCTTCCGCACCCCTAAAGCCTGTCCACCCCATCTCCTTCAGCCTTTCTTTAAAAACAGCTTTATTTACGTAAAATCCATATACCAACAATCCACCCTTTTAAGGAATGCCATTCAATGGTTTTTAGCAGATTCGCAGGTAGGTGTAACCATCACTAGTTAATTTAGATCCTTGCCATACCCTGAAAAGAAATCCCCCCCATACCCACCTCCTGCCCCAGCCCTGCCACCCCCCCGCCTGCCCTCTGTGCATGGATTGGCCCCTCTGGACTTGCACGTGGGCCCACAGAGCACGCGTGGCCCCTCCCACTCACGTAGGGCTGCAGCGGGTTCATGCTGCGTCTCTTTACGGCCAAATAATGGTCCCTGCGTGGACAGAGCACATTCAGTGACCCCCTCACCCCTCCACGGAGCTACTGTGAATATGCTCATGCACGCAGACACGCCTGTGA